CTGGAGAGTACCAGAAATTGCTTCAAAAATTGGAGCTTGGCAAATGCTTAAATTCAAGTTGGAAAGGCACAGAAGCCTACAAGAGCTAGCTATGCAGGATGTGACCAACCATTCTGTCCTTTTGTGGCTCATTCTCGGCCTCTGACCTGACAAGAGCAGCAGGGGACGCGCCAAAAGCAAGCTGAGGACTCTCAGCAGCTGGAGCAATCCATGTCTGTGGCACTGGCAAATATCTTGTTGATTCAGCATGGAATGCTCATCACATCACTGAAGCCGTAGGCAGCATCTTGGCCGGATGTCTTGGAAGCCCTGCGAAAAGAGCCCTGTGTCTGTTCCCCTCCTGTTTGAGCAGAAGCCACCATTCCCAATCTGCAGCTGGTTAGGCGGATGCCATCTTCAAGCAGGGCGTGCAGACTTTACGAAGACGACTGAATGTCTAAGAACAGTCACCAGCAGCCGATGCCTTAGTTGAAAAACACAAAGGGCAGCTACCTCCCCCCCTCACTAGTCACTAGTTGGGGGGCGTAGGCAGCAGGCTGGTGCTAAGATCTTTGCAGGCCTTCGCAGAACATAACGTCACACCGTCACCATCCTGCAATCCCGTGTCCAGGGCATTCCGTAGGAGAGCACCATTGCGAGAACCTTCCTTCCCCAAGCACGTCGAGGATCACAAAAACAGTGCCCCTGTCCTCAAATCCTTCTCCACACACGGTCAATGAACGATGACAACTGCCAGCATCAACGAAAGCACCCTGCAGGCGAAAGGACCCTGAGCGATCGCAATGACCATCTTGTGAAGGTGCACCGGACAATCCACAAGCACGCATGCAACCACGCTGTTGCGCATCTGCCCAGAGTCCGCTTTTTGCAAGGCCCCCGTAACTTCCCCTCTCTTCCCTCCTTCCATTTGGCCACCCCCGCATGGCGCATTTCTTGGTGGGACTGATGCAGAAGCAGATATTCGATGGCATGTGCGCAAGGATGTAGTACGCTTGCACCTTCAGGCTGTAAGTGGTGATAGCAGCCATCACTTTGGAATCATACTGCGAGCGAGTCTGAGGACGACTACTCTGAAAAATGAACCCTGCCAGGCTCGAAAAGGCGATTGAGGATCTTGGGCAGGTGCGAATAGAGCTTTGTTCTATGTTAAACTGTTGCTGCCAGCGCCAGGCATCATCACCGCCAAGAAAGGAGACGACAGTCAGGAGCGACTTCCGAACCCATGTTAGCCATGATTTGGGCGTCATCAGGCTCATGCATGCCGCAAATTGCGATCCCTTGTTGTGTGTGAGTTCGCTTCCTCTTGCTTGCTTCGTGGCCTCAGCCAGCAGCCTTTGGTAGCCGAGCTTGTTGTGAGCCCTGCATCAAAGCAGAACTTCAAGGAGGTCTTGTTAGTCTTGTTGAAGATGTACGCCAAGAAATTGACGCAACTCAAGACCTGGAAAGTGTCGGAATCCTGTTCGAGATCACCAGCATGCTCACCTGGAATGCCGCCACTATGCCCGCAGCAAGGACAAAGCGTCAACATGGTGAAGTTCAAACGTCTCTCTGAGCAAGAGCCTGGAGGTGTGCCTGCACGACTATACGTTACTGTGTCCTCACGCACTACTATCAATCTAAACTGACTTGCGCCTGGACCTTCATGCCTTATCGTGACGCTTGCTCCCTTAGCGTTAGCCACTGATGATACTGTGAGTCCTCCCCTACAAATCCTGCAGAAGTCTCGCCCCCGAAGATCACAGTTTGGAAGCAGCCACGTTCTCGACATGCAGCGGGGATCCGTTTTGAATTGTAAAGTTCTCCGTCCAGGCTGTGGCAGGATCAGGCAACTTCCACAAACGATGCCCCATGGCTGTGTGGGAACTGCGTTTTCACCTTCCATGTTTCTCATGTGGTTGCCGCACGTTGCAGGTAGTGGATCTCGCCTTTGGGCTCTTCCAGGCAAGCATGACAAACAGCTCCCCTCAACATCCACACCATATACACCACATTCCCATCTTCATGCTGATGGCGGAAGTGCTGCCCCTTCCACATGTTCCCGTGCACAAGCTTGGACCTGGGATTGAGTACAACAGCTTCAGACGTTAAGGGTGTAACAAAACCCCGCCAAAACAGCCGGCACATATTTGTGGACTGCAGGATGGCTCAGAGGCATCGCCAGTTCATCCCTGGATGCTCTGAGCGCGGAACGGGCTAACATCTCCTGGCTCCAGGCTGTCATCATCAATCCCGGAACATGGACGTGAGGAAGTGAAATTAGCTTGAGGAAAGCCCCGAACAAGCCTCAAGAACTTTGGCAAGAAGGGCTCCAGCAAGCGCTTCGTTTCGTGGAGGATTAATGCAATGCCCTTGCGCATGATCCAAGTCTACCTTCTGAGTGTTGCCACCCGTCAGCCCCCTTTTCCTGGAACGCAACCTTCGGTCTAGATCGCCCAGCCAGCAGCTAAAGCACGAACCTTGACATGCTCAAGCACACAAGCAGTGACTTAGTACAACATCAGACCCAGGTCCATAAGCCCTGCGCTCTAGAGTGCTCTGGGCACTACATAATTCCAGATAGAAGCCCGAACCCCTGAAGCCTCAAAGGCTTGAACTCCCAAGCCAGATTCTCGGATCAAGTAACAAGCCAGAATGGCCGTCAGCTCCAAAATCGACCTCCTCAGTGTGCCTCAGACATGATTGGCTTGAAGAGTAAGGGCCGTTGACAAGTTCAAGTTGCATAACGGATCTAGGGACCGCTGCAGCGATCTTGAGGATTTAGTGCTTGTGCAGTTTTGTTGGGGTGCGGGTAAAGTGCCTCCTTTTCCTTGAGCTGTTACAGGGTCCCTGAGTCGCTGTCACAAAAACCAGGGAAGTGGAAGCCAGACATCACAGGGCCTCTGGGACTCAGGAGATGCCAGAGTCAGAACCTTTACATTTTCTGGTCAGGGACAGGTCTGGCAAGCCAGCCCTGACCCGAGAAAATTTCCACGACGGCCCCAGCGCAAATTTGCTATGTTTGAGATAAGGAGTACCTTCCATTTGGAGAATTCCCCCGTAATTTGCACATGGTGCAATGAATCTACAACTGCAATCCTCTTGCAACAGAGAGCACTGAGTTTCCGCACCTCGCGGCATCACCATCTGCATCCATGGTGGATCTTGGCATTTGCAGGAAGGCAAAGTGAACTTCAAAGTGAGAGTGATCGGATGAGAGGCCTCAAGGAGTGTGCATGGAGACTTGTAGGACCACTGTGTGAGCTTAGGTCTGGGGTCACTGTAAGACATAGTGGAATGAGCTGACGCTTCAGGGGCTTTGTACAAAATCTTGGGACGAGCAATCATGTCAGCATGTCCCGGATGAAGGAGAGAACGGAAGCATCTGCGATTGCATCACAAATGGCGGCACGTTCGCGCATACGCAAAGTTGGGGCTTGCGAAACATGCCGAATTCAGAGTATGCGCAGAGCATGTGCAAAAGAACCTGCTGATGTGAACTGAAGTGGTTGGTCCTGGGGCCCTAGGGCCCCTATGGAGGAGGGGGGAGGGGGAGGGGGTGGGGGCCAGCGGCTGACTCCAGAACTTGCTGAGTCCACGTCCCCCTCTAGGTTCCCTTCAATTCCTCCAATGCCCCATGAATCTTGAAAGCATTGCAAGCATGCCAAGTAAGAGCACAAAAAAAACACTCCAAAAGAAGATTAGCTGACAAAAGGTCGTTGAGATAAGTCAGTGGTCAAACCCTCATGGTCCCACATCACTCAGGCCCGTGGAGCTCTCGCGAGGTTTCTGGGGTACTCGCGGGTCGTTGTCGGGGTCACCTGAAGCTGGCTGGCAATGAGTTGAGCTCATGCTGCAAGAATTGGGGTGGAGTTTGTTCGTATGCTGGTGCTTTGGTGTGCCAATGTGCTCAAGAAACCCCAGTAAGCCATGGCGTTGTCACGCCATAACTTCAGCTGGCACTTTCAACTGAGAGCCCTTTGGAGAGCCAGCGCTCGGATTCTGTTCCAGGGTGAATCAAGGAGGCAGTAAGTTTAGAAATATCTTGAATTCGAGGTGCAGGTTTTGAGTATCAGCAGATTGCACTGAATTCAGTTCATTCCTGAAACTTGTCGTTTGAAAAATTAGGCTGGAAGGAGGGTCGTGGCTTCCAAATCCCCCACCCTTGCAGCTGCCGGCAAGCATACGATGGAAGAAGTGCAACAGCCTTTATCGTGGAGCGCCAAAATCAGGTAGCCTTCCACGACCTCTACGATGACCCGCCCACCGCTTCTAACACAGTAGCAGCCAGGCGCTGGGATCCAGGCCCATGGCAAACACCCGCAGCACCTCCTAAGAAGTACTCCTTCGATTTCTTTTGCAAAGGTTGAGCTGCCTAGATGTTCTGGCTATGCTGCTGCTGAATTTTGCGAACCGTGGCTCAAGATCTGAGCCAGAAAGCGGAGAGGATGACCCATGCTGAAGATGCAACCACGGTACGACACAACAGCTGCAGTCAGCTGTTGAATGCAACTTGGTAAGTGTGCGGCTTCTTGCAAGTAGCTGAGGAGCCTTGCATCTGGTGATGGCGGCATGACTACATACAAGCCATGCTAGACTTGCAACTTAGAAAGCTAACAGTACCCAGGGATACTGGTAGGACAGTTTATCACGTGGCCCGAGCCAAGAAGAAAGCTGCCAGCTACAAGAACCTCACGTGCGGGGATCTCCTGAGCTCCTCTGCTCAGCTTCTTTTGCCACCGCAGCACGTGTCTGCACAGGCTGAGGCCTGATGAAGTATGCTTGGCATGGCAATCATCGACCCCAAGTTTCTCGGACGGCCTCGTGCTAAAAAGCTTCTTTCGACGTTCAGCCTTCTAAATACCCATCTTCAATATCGCCAATCTGATGACAAGCTGTGCTTGTTCGAGATAATTTCGTAATCCTGGCAATCGTGATGAACTGCAACTACTGCCTTTACTTGTGCTTCGCCACATGCCTTCATGTCTTGTCGCGCAGAGAGTGTGCTTCCAGTGCTGTCTGGGTCAGGCTTTCACATCACTCGGTCGGGGCTGGGCGGCCACGGCGAAACCCACCTGCTCAGTCAAAGTTTGTTCATGGAATACTGGACAACCACTTGACAAGAGAGGACCCGGACTAGCAAGGAACTAGGAAGGATCCGAGGGTAGAGTACTACGTTTTGCTCCCAAGCAAGTCCTTGCATGCTTTCAGAACCTGCCACAAGACATTGCATTTCGGCACCTGCCAGGCAACTCTGCAGCAGCTTTGGTTCCCGGAAACGTACGAATCAGAAACATGTCTCGGAGATGCTTCGAAGCTTCTTTGCTCAATGATTCGCATGGTGCCGTCGACTAGTAACAAGCAGGAAGCACGTACTCCGGCTAAGCTGACAGTGCACCTGAAGGTTCTCGCGGTCGTACACTGTGTAGTACCTTCAGGCAGCACTTCTTACAGTGACCTGCTGACGGGGGAACTGTAGTACTCCAAGCCCTTGTGGCAAAACAGGATGAGGAAGTGCGTTCAAGTTGTGGTAACCAGGTCCATTCTCAGGAACACAAGACATCCATTGTGTCAGTGAGAAAATTTGGGCAATGGGTTCAAAGCCCTTGACCAGTAGGGCACTTCCGCAACAATGGATCGCCAAAGATGAAGAGGGGCCCCTTCGGCGGTGGAACGTCCATGGTCATCAGCGACAACTGGCCAATCTTGCTCACGCATGCAATGCTGCAAGAGAAAGAGAACGCGACCAGTCTCACTTGACCATGCGCATGACCGCACAAACTTTTATTTGACACCATGGAATGGCTCCGCCGCTCTTGTGGCACTACATACATCTGGCAAGAGTAAATAGAGCAGGGGAGGCAGAGCACGTACGGCCATCGCGATCCACGTAGTCCTGTGTGACATAAGCCGCAGATTGGTTCAACAAAGACCATACAACCTGAGACAACCTCACTCTGGCCAATGCCTCCGGAGTCAGCTTCAAGGTGTGACCACCCATGACAAAGCCAAGCTCCTGCAACCATCTTCTTTTTGTAGTTGTCACGGTGCTATTCTACAGGTGGCCACATGCGCCTTTGTCAAGATTGTACAGCACAAGAACAGTCCTCTTCCTGGAATGTATAGATTTGAGGAAAGCATTGTACGGAGAATTACCCTCACCCCGCTACGGGATCAGTCGCAACTTCAACCCCGTGCCCGTGACTGGAGCACAAATCTGCTTGTTCTTCCCATGCAGCGGGCAGGCAGTCCGGCAGCTCATTGAAGTTGGAGCAGTCCTCCTTGACGCCAAGCCTCCAGCGCGCTACATCATCAATTCCCGAACAACCCTGCAAGTCCCAGGTCAGGTACATACCCAGCAGCATTCGCGCAAGAATGCAAAAGCAAGCTGTTTCGTCCCTGTTGCTCGGCCATTTTCTCTCCAGCAGCATATTCGGATATCGTGATTCACCTTGAGGATGCGAAGGATCTCTCTGGCACACGCACGCCTGCAAACCAGCGTCACTGCACCGCCTCTTTTACTCGAATGCCATCGTCAGGCGTCAAATGCCTCCCGATGTAGCTAGGAACTGTGCAGGGAAGCCACGGAAATCTTGCTGTAGGTCCAAGGAAGCCTTGCCAAAATTGGCGAGTCCACATCGGACTTGAATCGCCCTCTGTTTTTGGCCTTTTGAAACGCATCGCCCTCCTCACGGATTCCAAAGTTGCTTGCCGCCGTGTCTGGCCTTTGTCTGCCTTGGCGTTTCACTGCGGTTCCGCCTCCAAATCGTCGATGAGCAGCTGCGCACGCGTGATCTGCAGGTACGATGGGAACCCCAAAGATGACTACCAACGACATGTTGTACCAAGAAGATCCATCAGCGCGGAACTATTTCATAGCCCTTGCTTCGGCAAGGCACGTGGTTGTTCGAAGCAGCCCGGCAATCATTTCAGAAGACGAGGTGGCCATCTTTTAAACTCATGGTCCTGCGCAGCATAGCATGAGAGGATATGAGAGGAAGGATGCAACAACACGCTTCACAGCTTCACCGCATCAGAGCCCGGCCTTGCGCAAACGAATACACACGGCGGAGCTGTCACCGTGTCTTTCAATCTCCCAGTCGCTCTCCTCCTCGTCGATTTCAAGCCCTGGCTCTCCATTGAAGATTGCCTTAGTAGGTGGGGCACAATCCTGATGCGTGTTCTCTCTAGACTATTCTGTCCTACCTTTGCTACAGAGCCCCGTAAAAGTTCTGCTACGCAAATCCTGCGATTATCTGCGATTGACCTGTCTGTCAGAGCTCACGGATTTCCCGGCCAATCAGTCTTCAAAGCAGCCGAGAAGCGTGGCCCGCGACCGTGGCAGAAATATGATTCTTCAAGAGCCTGAGCAGGTGCATGACAGAATTGGTGCGAGCTCATGGGTGGTGTGCAACCAGCTTGGGAAAGCAACCGCTCAAGGCTGCCAGGGGGCAAACATTCAACATCTTTGCTCGAGACTCCAGCGTCGACCGGAATGAAAACAAGCATGTCCTGCATGCTGCACTGCCCACAATCACCAAGGGTGTTTGTTGGAGTCAGCCTAGCAAAAACGGGATTGCACGCCATCTTGCGCCTACTGCCAACTCGCATCTTTGTTTATCCAAGATTTCTTGCGGCACCATTTTTCCATAAATCCGCCAATGCCGGAGGCCTGGGGCGTTTAGATCCTGGTCCGGAAACCAAGAAAGTAATTTAACCCTCCCCCTACCCCCTCCCAAACTCCTTTTGTTAACTTTCTGGCGGGGGCTAGGAGAGTCCGGGTGTTCGTCTGTCGGCCTGTTGGGGAGGCCTTTCTTTTGCGGCCGGCTTTGGCTGTCCCTCCACCTATTTTTCCTCTGGCCTGCGTAAAGGCTCTGGATGAGGCTGCAGAGCGGAGTTGTCTCGTCTCAGCACTTGTAAGGCTTTGGCCATTGCCTGTCTTTGTTGATCTAGCCGTCTTTGAGCGAACACTAAATGCATCCTCAAAATCCGCAAATTTTGCCGACTTGGCTGCCGGCCTGTCCGAAGCAGAATGGATTGAGTTCACATCCGCAAAGTCACTCAACCTCGGTGAACAGGATGAATCACCACCACCGCGGAGGGGAAGCGAATCACCTGCTGAACCCGGGTTCCTGGGATAGACCTTGAAATAACGCGCAAGAATCGATGAGAAGTCTCCCGCGCCCAAGTATTCATGGTGAGCAATGGAAAGGTCAATGTGCAATGCAAGTGGCCGAGTCGTCTCCCTCGACTGGAAAGGAAAAGGCCTCCCCTTTATTCGTAATGATGTAGATGGTGCGCTTGAGGGCAGCAGCCATGACGAAAGCCTCCAGGTAGTCCGCCCAAACACCGCTTTTGCGGATGTTGTGGACATGATCCTTAAATGTGTGGGCATCAGGCGCACGTCCTCCTCCGGCTTTCTTGCCGTCCCAAAGTAGGCGGAACTCCTCCAGATGCTTAGACAAGTAGTTGTATCCAAAGGCACGAAGCTGAGCGGCTGTGTGAGGTTAACCACTCTTCTTAGGGCAGGCCGCGTCCATAGCTTGAGCAAGGCTGAATAAAGGCCGCTGCCCTTACCCTGGTTCGCAACACGCTCTGATCTGAAAGGGCACCAACCTTTCCAGGCCTTGCCATCGTCAGCTGCAGACTCTGGCTCACTGGGCCGATCCTCGAGCTTATGGAGGTCTCGGTCCTCAGGTGGATCGGGTTCTTCGCGAAGAACACGGTTGCCAACCTGCCTCGAAGGTCGGGAAGTGATCCACGCAAGGACGGTCGCTGGCAAAGTAGTCCGGCACTTGACTAGCTTGTTTTGTTGCAAAAGCTGCCGTCTCTGAGAAAAAGGTCGCCTGGCAGGCTCCTTGAGGAAGGTGAACTCCCCTGTGTCGTTGCTGTCAAAGGCAATCTCGACCTGGATGATGTCGGACCGCTGGCAATGAGAAGCTTTCACACTCCAAGAGGCTCCGCTGCGGCGCCATTGTTTCTCAAAGATTTCGGGGTTGGTGAGTCCAGGCTGTCGAAGGTCATCAGGACGAAGACGGAGACCTAACTGCTTTCTGCCAAAGGCCAAGCCGTAGGACTAGTCGAAGTCGGATTCTCCTTCGGCTCGATCCAGCCAAAGAACACAAAGTTTCTGTCTTATCTCAGGAGAGACAGGTTCAACAAGCCGTCGCACCCCAGTGTTGCCTAGGGTGCCACTTGCTGTGAAGATTTGTTTCGCTGCCTCCTCATCATACACACGCATGCAGCCCTGGAGGAACTTGCCATCCACAATTTCGAAATGAAAGGCGTCACCAAGTCACGCTCAACACCAGGTTCTTCAATGGATGCCGCCCATCAGTGTGCACACCCAGTGTGACCAAGAGCACTCCTGGTACTGCACGGGGGCTTTGAAGCAAAGGACGGAGCCCTGTGGCTTGCGCTTCTTCCGGGGCGCCTGCACTCGATGTGCTTTCACCACCTGCTGGGGCGAGGGGAGTGTAGACGCCTTCCGGGTGCGCCATGTTGGAGGGTCGGCGCCGATCAGCTTGACATAGCATTGGCCCAGACTGGGTTGGCGACGCAAGGTGCCAGGGATCTTCATTTCCCTTTGCCCCGTCACATCTACATCCTTGGCCTGTCTAGCTTCCAGGACCACAGCAGCATCCAAAGCTTGATCTGCCGCACAAAGATCAAAGATTTCGTGGTAATCCTCGATATTCTGGGCGTAAACGATGTAGACCTCATTGCTGCGGTCCTCCATGGCCACTGCAAAGTCTGTAGGGCATGTGAAAACTGTCAAATCATCGGTGTGGCCGTGCCCCCAATCTGCCAAGTGCTGCCATCTCCGTCAGCGTATGTGCGAGGGCTCTGCTTGCGCAACGGCTTGGATGAAGCTGCTCGCTCGCTCCAGCCCTGCCAGTCCGGAGAGCGCCAAGAGGAGGAAGAATGCCAGTTCTCCCAAGATTGCCATCCAGCACCATGTCCGGATTTCTGCGGTGATCTTTGGAATAATCACACCATTTTCCTTTGCTGCGATGCCTGTGGTTGCGACATCCACGGTGGTCGTCCTTGTAGTAGTCGCCGTCCATGGTCTTTGTTGCTGTCGTTGTTGCGCCAGCTCGAGCGGTCATCGGCATAGCTTCCCCAACCATGCCAAGGTTTCGAGTGGCCATTCCACGAATCGTTACGATGCTTGGTGGTGTTGTTCCAAGAGTTTTTTTGATGTCTGGCCACGCCGCTTCCTTTCTGAGGTCAAAGCAGACTTGACCGCCTGGATGAACGGCCAAAAAACACGGATTTTGGGCGAAACGGGTTTGGGGAGGGGACGACACAAAACCTGCGGTGCAGCTTACGAACCTTGTTTGGTTTGAGCTTGCAGCGCATGTACGACAACCTTTGCCGAGGCGGTCTCGCGTTAGCGGCTAAATTATTGAACCCCAAAACCTAAACCGTCACCCACGAGAAAAAAATGTATAGATGCTATATGCACCTAAACCTCCAAAATTCAGAGGGAACAATGAAAAGCATGGGTCAATGGAGAGACTGCATGTATGCGTATTTATATATATATACTATATATACGTAAATAGACATATCTGTACAGACAAGATATCCGTGCATCCCCATAACCTAGCCCCTCGCAAGGTTCCTGAGGGTACCCTGTTCTAAAATGTCTTCATGCCTCCACGAGCCAAATTGTCCACAGTCCAATCTTTCAAGCCTATTCATTCAGCCCTGACCCGGAACCAGTCCTAAGCCCTAAACACTGAATCCCAAGCCCTCGGCTCTGGGTCGTTTTCACGCAACTCTCATTTCTAAGGTGTCTTCGCTGCAGCCTGTTGCAAGCGTGTTGCGGGCCACGGCCACAGCAGTGCAAGGCACAGGGGCAGAGGGGTTTACGTTTACTGTTTACTGCTTGGGGTTTAGGGGTTAAGGGTTCAGGGTTTCGGGTCTTGCGGCTTAGTATTGGGTTTCTCGCAGCGCAGGAGACAACCTAAAAAAGCAGACATGCTGCGGAGAATCAAGGTCCTGACCATGCCTCTCCCAGTAGTACCTTCCCAGCGGATCTTTGCCACCTGTTTGGTAAGTTGGATTGCCAATGCATTCAATGATTTCTGGAAGGTACATGAGCTGTCTCTTTGGACAAGGCTTTCAGGCACTGAGAAGATGGCCTTCACCCAGGTCGTTCTTTCCCATTTTGTCAAGGTCTTTGGGGATTTCAATGTCTTCATTGAACTCATCGACATCAGGGTCCATGTCCACCACTTTGAGGAGTTCGATCTCATACTCCAAGGTGGCACCTGGGGGAACCTGGTCACCAAGGCCCTCTTCGCCGTAAGCCAACTCTGGAGCAATGTAGAATCTTGAGATCTCACCCTGGCTCATGTTCATGACCTGAGAGGCAGGCAAGGCAGTAGAGGCGACCATGTGACCATCCGCAATTCAATTAGTAATGGACTTTGGCAGTTCAACATCCTATCACGTCATTTCCATGTCTGAGATAAGCTGAGCTGCTGCTTCCTCCAATCCTCGCATCGCCTCGCCGTGGCCTATGCGGAACTTCATCGGTTTCACATCGCCTTCTCGGGTTGTTTCGAAGATGTCTCCATCCACTACTCTCGCCGTGTAGTGGAGCGTCACCTCGGGGACAGATCCGTCCCAGCAAGACCCAAGGCCTGCCAAACAGCTGTCTAAACCTCCACGAAAGCATAAGGCATGCGGCCTTGTCTCCAAGCAATGGACGCACGACCCTGGACTTCCGCGGCGAGGGCGTCAGAATCTGTTTCAACAACCTGTGAGGCAGAGACGCATACATTGAGCAGCCTCTTGCACAGAGCGACAATAACCTTCCATCAACAGAAGGTGCACGGGGAGCATGCCTTTTGCCAACGCTTGCGATATACTTGGGATGGTCAGGGATGATCAGGGCATGTAGCATGTCCAGGAGACTTGAAAACCAGCCGAAAGTGTACCACCTGCTGGTGAGGCACGTGTCATTGTCTAGGACATCAATCGCCCAACCCTCCTGCGCATCGCGCTCATCCTGCTCGTAATACTCCTGCAACAGGCAAACCTAATGCAGTTAGACATGGTCTATAGCACCCATCCTCCAAGATACATGCCAAATGCAGGGAGCTCATGAGGGGTCATGTGATGTATTCCATGGACGCTCCAATAAATGAAGCCTAGTTGCACGAGGACCCTGAGAGAGTATGGACTCCTGCCATGATGATACCAAAAAAATGTATACTTCACAATGCTTCTGACTCATGGCCCATCCACCAGCGGCCCCACTCGGGTTGCTGAAAATTCTCCGCCCTGAATGGCCAGCAAATTCAAAGCCAAAACACTGCATAAAGGCCAGCTGCCTCCCACTGCTTCTGAAGATTCTCTTCTTTGTCCCCGGGGGGCTCGGCTCGGCGGTGGAATCCACCTGGAGCCTCTGGGGACGTAGGGCAGCTTGGCTTATGTAAGAGTTCAGCCTTGAGGGGCGTTCGTTTCAAGATGGCTACACTTTCAAGCCCACTTCCTTGGATTGCATCATCACACTGTAAACACCCTCATTCCAATCCTGACCTCCACTCTCGGCTCCAGCATACATCCAGCAGACCTACCCAACTTAAGTCCTACAATTGCATTGCCTTGCGATGTGAAACCAGCAGGAATGCTGTGGCCCCAAAGGCCGCTGCACCTGGGATGCCAGGGGGCTTGAAGCCGATTAGCGCGCTAGAGGCTTGATGATGGGGCTTCAATTGCAAGGCCTGGGACTGTTGCACTACTTGAGGCAAGGTTGGCGGCTCCAGAATTGAAGCGCGAACGTACCCACGTGAGTGAATAGGATATCACACGCATGATGCCGGACTGCTATGAAATTTCACAATGCTTTCAAAGTCTCTTCTCGCTTTGGTAGTCTCGCTGTTCACAACTCTTGCCACCTCGACCTTGCCCCTGAGGGCAAGCACCAGCCTGGGCCCAAAGCGAAACGGCCACGATCATACAAAATCCCACGAGCCTGTGACGTTGCCAAAGTCCAATGTCCCAGCCGAAAAGCTGCTGTACCACGAGCCAGCGACCATGACTTCGCGCTGATGGCGCAAGATGTGCCGTCTGCCAGCGGGCCGTCAACATGGCCAGGACGAGACTCAAAACTCCCACAAGAAGAGCCTGTCCTCGCTGAATGCCATGCAGTTGTAACAGCTAGGGAACATGAGGGAGTTGCTCGAATGCCAACAATTATAACCTCTTTCAGCTTGTCTGCTGCTTGATGCCCCTTTGGGCGGAAGGCACCTGTTTGCAGCCTCAAAAGCACAGATCAAGGCTTGAGCATTTCAACGCAGAAGCTTGTTGCACAAGCCGGGACCCTGACCAACTCCGACAGACCTATGCATGAGAAATCTAGGCAAACCAGAGATTTGCTTAGATCTAGACTTCCGGACTCCCACTTCACCCTGCAAGTTCCCTGACCTATCAAATCGATTCCGCCGCAAATTCGCCCATCAATTCCAAATGAGTGCCTCTGCGTCAGAGTTCCTGAGCCAGCCGCAAATCACTGCATCACGATTTTGAAGCTGGGGGCAAGGTGAGTTTGTGCAAGTGCTGAGGGCCAAAAGATACACTTCATCTCAAGGAAGAGCCATTAGACTGCTCAAGGCTATAGCAGGGGGTGCGGACAGGGACAAGATGGCGGAAAAAGTCAAATCTAGCATGTATATGCATGTATGTGGCAGCACTGCAGTTGTCCCAAGCCAGCCCTGCATGAGAATCTTCATGCAAGGATTCGAAGCGGAGCTGCTGCTGGTTGTCAACATGTGCATCGCCCCATCCCTTTCCGAAACGAGATTTCCCGAGCAATCAAAAGCAGCAAGGGCTCATAGCGAAGATCGACTGCCCCCTTAACAGTCTTCAGGTTACGCACGGAAACAGACCAAGCCCGAGACTGAGGCAAAACAGATGGGAAAGCCAGTGAGCGTGACAAAGGTGGCCAATGTCAATGCTTCTCTACTCAAACCCTTGGTAGCAAGAGCCAACGATATGCCACTCCAAATGACTCTACATTACCATTTGCCGCTATTGCCGCCACGGCACGCACGACATCAGACGGCCCAGCCAGCAGCGAGGTCCCCGTATCCACAGCCGCCTGTCAAACCGTTTCTGGAACTCCAAACCAACCTAACTGGATAGGCAGATCCGCTGCGTTGGATGGCGAACTGACCTCCAGTTCACCCATTCCATTTAAAGCCTGCCATTGCGCACAGCAAGCTTGCCCCCTTCCCGGATTCCCACGTCTTTCCCCAAACATTGTGCACGGTATGGGAGTTTGGCCTCGCCGCATGGCGCGCAGATTTCGGGCATGCAATCGCTTACAGCGATGCATGACGGCACCAGCTTGCAGGTCAAGGGTATGCCATGCGCAGAAAGCATGGCTGCTGACTGCTCCAAACTGACAAGCGGGCAACAGAAAAAGTCCTCTCCGAGCTCCTCACAAAATCTCACTAAGAAAGTGTAAGGATTTTCACCTGCTTAGGCCTACAGGCTTGCCGGGCTCGGGTCGGACAATGTTTCTGCATCCCCTGCTTGTTCAACATGTACAGACAGAGGCGAGCATGAACCCGCGTCCAAAATTGCAAATAGAAGTTTGGGCAGCACAACGCTGGTATGGACAAAAATGGTATGTATTTAGCTTCGCTTGTCAACTCAGTTCTTCGTCTCGCCCGTCTCATCACCTTTCACATCAAGATTCTCCAGGTCTGGTTTGTCAGGAGCTCCCAGGTCCTCCTCGAAATCATCGGCGTCTGGGTAAGAATCCAAGAGGTCAAGTTCTTCAGGGGTGAACATGTACTTCAAGCCCTTGCGGATGATGGCCAAGGAGGCCATGAAGAAAGGGAAGACGACAGCCGTTTCCTTGACTGCTTTCAAACCGTACAGGATTGCCAGACAGATGACCTGAACCAAGGTGTAGAGGTGCACACGGCTCATGGGCAGCTTCTGGATGTACTTGTACTGCGGGTAGTTCTTCGGCTCCCAAATCAGCCACAAGAAAAGACGGTCGAAGAGGTTGTTGCCCGTGAGGGTTGCAATCCCCATGTAGAAGAAAATGCCCTGCAGCACAGCACGCGGCAAGAATTTCAGGGCGGGCGCCAAGAACAGAGCACACCCAATTAAGACGTGAATCATGAAGTTCGTGGCGCGCTGCTCCACAACCTTTACAGGAACCTTGCGCTCGCCCTTGGGGAGCTGCTTCACCTCATAGGTCGTCAAGGAGATCACG